TTTTTTAATCAAAAACAGGAACACAGAGAAAAGGAGAGAGAGAGAGAGACACACACATTTTGCTATCTTTGTGAGGACTTCTCACACACACACACACACACACACACACACACACACAGCGCTCACAGCATCTCTGCCTCAGTCTGTGCCCATTTTTTACACCGGGCAAAAAATGAATTTAAACCAGCTGACGTTAACTCAAGCTTTAGAGCACAGTTTGAAATGCACACCAAAGAAAACCTGCATCACGGCTTTTATACTGCGGTCAGACCAAATGTGATCTGAGCAGCATCTGCCTGGTTCACATGTTTACATGGACGGCAGCTCTTTACTCGCTCTTATGAACAAAACAGCGAGAAAAGACCGAGAGCTTTTTAGTTTTAATCCAGCAGGGAGAACAATGCAGGTGTTCTTCTATGCCTCCTGTGAGCAGTTCCAGCATTTTTAAAAAGAAAAACAACGCGGACGCGCTAATTACAGTCCGGTGCGAAAGTGAAACTAAAAATATGGCGTTCCCGTTTGAAAGTGAAACTTAACACATAGCTGTTCTCTCCTCCTCATAGTCCAAGACAGAGGGCAGAAACAACTAAATTAGACAGTTAAAACACATTAAAAGTTAATAACTCACCCTTATTATTGTTAGTACTCTGTCTTACAACATTACCAGCCGTTCTCTCCCAGGGAGGGGGCGGCAACATGTGCTCGCGTGACCCAAAGAATGGATCGGCCGAACGCATAAACGTATCGACCAATACCGATACAAAAAAAAAGACGCAAATATCGGCCAAAGATGTCAGCCGGCCGATGTTTCAGTCGACCCCTACTTTAAATATTGGTAACTTTTACACTTTTTGAACTATAAATCTTTTATATAAATTTTACCCATAATAAACATTGAGATCTCTGAAATCTGCTTTATCAGAGCAAACATAGACCAAAGTGATCTGGTTGTATATACGAATGTTTCTTTTAGCTACTGTCTTGCTAATTTTAGCTTTTAGCTACAAATTTGTGGGTTTTACCTACAATTTTGCTATTTGTAGTTTTTAGCATTGCTATTATATTTAGCTTTTTGCTACATGTTTTGCTAATTTTAGCTTTTAGTTCTGCTTTTGTTATATTTATCTTTTGGCGACTGTTTCATCATATTTGGTTTTTAGCTAAGGGCTTTGCTAATTTAATCATTTTAGTTTTTAGCTATATCACTTATGGTAATTGGTTCTGATATTTTTAACTTTTGTTTGTTTTAACTTTAAAAAGGCAATTAACAATTAATTCTTCAACTAATTTCAGCTTTCCAAACATAACATTTCTTCAGCATCATTATCATCTTTGCACTTCTGCTTCAACACAATGAAGCAGCTCTTTTTTTTTCTTTTTTTTTTTTTTCCAAGCAATTTTGGAGCTTCAGGAATCCATATTAGACTGATGAGGACCCCATGTGTATAAGTCTCTGTGTCTCAGATGTGTGTTGATATTCAGGAGCAAACAGCTCTGATTAGTTAATGTGTTCCAGAAAGGAGTTGCAGACTAGAAAGAGACCCGAAAGAAATAAGTAATTTAACCTGGATCAAATTGGAAAGTTTTAGAAATGTGTTCCAATACATTTGAGACGATCTTTTTTCCACCCGCTGTAATTAATTTTACTGTTTATTTGTGGACTAGCTTTGGGATTGCTTTAAAGAGACCTAAAATAGCCTAATCACACATATATAAATATGGGCAAGCCTTTGCTTATTTGTTAAAGAATAAAAAGTAAATGATATAATACAACTACAATGCAGCAGAGAAAGGAAAAATAGCCCTGCAGCCAGAAGTTACAGTTACAGTACATTAGTGGTTCCATCAAATCATGTTGCTTAGACAAATATGTTTCCAATCCACAGAAATTAGAGCTTTATTAGCTGATATTTTTGGCCACTTGTGTTGATAATTTGCCTTTCTACAAAGTAGATGCATTTCATCATAAAGTAACCAAAGCCTTTATTTACTCCCATTTGCCTTGTTAAAGTTATTGCACATTGCTCTCGGCACAGACTCTAAACTTCCCCTTACTGCGTAAAAGTGAACGATCTCCAGCCCGTTTAGCAGACACACGCTTTCATTTATGCAAAAGGTTTTAGCGTGAAGCGCTAAATGACAACAAAGTCAAGTGGATTAAAATAATATAATTAAATCTTAGCATTATGGAAACATACGAGGTACATTTTGTGTCTATTTCTATAGGTAAAAGCTTCTTACCAAGTGACAGACAGCATTGTTGTTTTATCAAAAGTTTATGGCAGTTTCCATTCTTTTCTTTCCAGTTTGTGTATTTGAAATGCTTTAAATTGCTCCTTCTACAGTTTTCCAATATCCAGCTTTTAGTTGACCTCTGCTGTTAATCCTGCAAATTCAATGCACATTAAAGCAATAATAGTCATTAGCATTTCTAACTAATGATTAAAAGTACTTGTCTTTGTGTCAGTGAGTAACATTTATTAGTGCAACTTCAATGGTATTGTCAACCATTCTTTGACTTTACTACATGGAACACTAAGAAAAACAGTGTGTGTTAATTGGGAAAGCTCGATGGGAATGTTGAGAGTTTCTAAGGTTATTGCCTGCAGTTTCAAAGTAAACCAGATAGGTCCTGGTTTTGCATCTTAACGTAGAATTAAGGTAATTAAAAGCATTATGGCGACGATGGTGTGCCTGCAGACCGATGTTTGTCAGACGCAGGCACTCGTTTTTGTAGGTATTCAAACATCGGGTGCTTTAAATGAGGGGTCATTTGTCTCGAAAGGCTTATTGTAAAACATTGTTCCCTGCTTTATGGTTCCATTTCCTCCTTTCCATCAACTTGGACACTGTGTCATTTAGCCATCAAAACTGTTTGTATCAGGGGCACAGTCCTCCCACTGGGTGTGTAAATAAAGCTCCCTCTGTATCATTTTCTTGTATTACGATGGTGCAACCACCTCTGTATATGAGAAGGGACAACAAAGGAGTACTGTACCTTCTGTTTGCGAAATCTCAAACGCTCTCTGTTCTGCAGCTTCGAAGCTATGCTTTCAACTGTCCTTTTATTTATTGAAGCTGAAATTCCAGGAGTTTGTGCAAACATCAGATGAAATAAGTTTTTTGAGCTGCCTGCTCTTTTCTACCTAAAATGCACGTTTTGCTTTTCCTGCAGTTCCAGACGTTGCAGTGCCATCAGGCGACGCCGGTGTTGATTTGTGTGCAAAAGCCGCCCCTCCCAATCCTTGTGATGCACCGTCCTCTGCTCCCCCATCTGCTGCTGCCGCCCAGAGCCAGCCTCCCAAAGATGAGCCTAAAAAAAAGAAGCAAGAGAAAAAAGGCACGTGAAAGTCTAAAACTTTACCCAGCCTTGTTTACATGTTGATGGGTTTAGGTTTTACGATGGTGGATGTGGATTTTTTGGGATAATTTTTTTTTCAATCATACTATTTCCTCAGGAAAATATAACAATATTCCTTTAAAAGAAGGTGTGTCTTTCTTCAGCTAAGTACATGATGAACATCTAATTTTTGACTTTGCTGAAAATGTGAAAACACTCAGACAACACACTCACATCAAACTTTGATTCACCTCAAGAATCATCAGATATAAGATTTCAGAGGTTTTTTTTATTCATTCAGTGTGTTTATACATAAATATTGTAAGAGTAACCTCACCTGCCCTCTTTGTTTCTGATAGCTGGAGGTGAGAAAGCGGAGAAGAAGCAGGCGACGCCCAGCCAAGACGAAGCCAAGGTGGACGTGTCTCGCCTGGACTTGCGCGTCGGTCGTATCGTCTCAGCCGAGAAGCACCCAGACGCTGACAGCCTGTATGTAGAGCAGGTCGACGTGGGGGAGGCTGCTCCCAGGACGGTGGTCAGCGGGCTGGTCAAGCATATACCTCTGGAGCAGGTGTGCAGTTTTAAGTACTGATTATAAAAGAAAGACAGGAAGCATGCGCATTTCACACAACCATTTCATGGAATAATCAGATGATGCACATAAACTCCGCAGTCCATTTGCTTTTTCTTGATAGAGCAACAAAGATATTTTGACAGGAGATAGAAAACCTGAGCTGCTGATGTGTTTCTTTAATGTTACAAACAATGAAGTCTAATTGGATGTTCAGGTTTTCTGTTTTAGGTACACTCATCAATTTGTCAAGCAAACAGAAGTGAACAATGTGATGAGAGGCATCAATGGTTGCATGTCTTAACTGCTGAGTGTGAGTGAAGGACTTGCATTATTCCAAAAAACAAGTCGTGGACCTGATAATTTCAGAGCAGCTACCAAAAGTGCCCACAAATGAAAACCAAAAACCATCCTCACAGCCTTGGGCAAAATAACACGATTTTCGGATTTAAAGCATTTTCTCTATAAAACCAACATAGAGACCAAATCAGATCCTTTTTCCTAGTGGTTGCAGAATAAATGTCATGTAAAGATGTAATTTTCTACCTCTCAGTTTGTGTAGAAAATGCCTCTGGTTGTTTTTGGTGAGCCACAGAGGTGCCAGAATATTTTTTTTCTGTTTGCTCATTTTGATTTTTGAAACGAGAAACGGATAACTTAAGAAGTTGTTGGTTTTTTTTTCTCTGCAGGCAGAAAAGTATGGGCTTTTAAATGTAATTTAATTTTGTGTCCTTGATGCAGATGCAGAACCGCATGGCTGTGCTGCTGTGTAACCTTAAGCCTGCCAAGATGAGAGGAGTCGTGTCTCAGGCGATGGTCATGTGTGCCAGCTCGCCAGACAAGGTTGAAATCCTCGATCCTCCAAGCGGAGCGGTACCAGGAGACAGAGTTGCCGTCCAAGGCTTTCCAGGTATTTACTGGTCAATGGGCTGAAGAATAATTTTACTCAAACATCATTAAGAAGATTCTTGAAATACTTGATTTGACTCAGTTTTTTCTTATTTCACGAATCTTACCAAGTAAAATTTTCTTGCTCCATTGGCAGAAATTTTTGACTTAATTTGAGTCAAATTTTCAGGCTAACAAGACAAATAATCTTACACGTTCTGAAAACAAGATTATTATTCTTACACAATCAGTTCTTGTTTAGTAAATCAGTCTCAAAACAAGATCAAAGACTTTTTGGCTGATATAAGATTTAAAAACTTGGTAAGATGAACAGTTTTTGCAGTGTAACTGAGTTTTGAAAGGTGCTATACAAATAAATGTATTATTATTAAGAAGAATTATTTAGCACTGTGTGACTGTCTGAAATTGTTTTAAATGATTTTACCAAAAAATGTTAGTCTTCAAGTCCCTAAAATGCTCTTTAGAAAATGAAGGGTTTTATTGAAGATTTTTGCTGCCGGAAACAACATCAGCGGATTGAACGTACATTTATCTGAAGACCCCAGTCACAACAGGTTTCTTTACCCATCCCAAGGCTCTCATTGGACCACCCCTCAGATCTGTTTGCTGATGGCTAAATGGGCTGTGACTGCTTGGTTTACTGGGTAATCACGCTAAATGCTTGGACTCTCACCTAAAGTTTTTTTTAGTTTGTCGGGGAAATGAGTTTTCCTAATCGTCCGGGTAAAATCAGCTAATATAAATAAGTTTAAAAAAAGGAGCATGCCAACATTACTTCCTGTCTATTAAGACATGAACCAGACCGTACTGGTGAGGTAATTCAAACGGAAACACAAAAATAATTTTGTGGAACAAACGCTAGGTGTGTTTCAACTCCATTTATCCTAAACTTTAAAGCACAAAACTTATTTTCAGGAATCCTACATGTTTATTTTAATTGTAGCTTGTTAAAAAGTGACCTTTATCCACTGCTCAGTTTGTGTTTGGGCGGGTTTGTACTTAGGATGGATCAGCCTCTGTTTGAGGGTCTTGTTTGGTGGCATTGTGTCTGGAGGAAAATCCTTCTGAGTTTCTCAGATTCCCCAAACAATGTTTTTTTTTTCTTTTGTTCAGGGAGGTGTTTTCTTGACTTGACAAAAGCTCAGTTAGGATATCCACAGGTTTGGAGAGATTTTCTGATGTAATTTTTGTTTTTATTCCTTTCCTTCTGTCCTCTCATGAACACATTCAGCTCAGTGATGTAGAGTTCTAATGACAGAAAGTTTGTGTTTCAGTGGTGGTGAGAGCCAAACAGAAGGTACTGATCTGTGTGAGTTGGTTTCCTGTAAACCTCAATGTTTAGACTTCCATCTCTTTCCATGTGCACCAAGCAGTCAAAAAAAAAAAAGGCTGTTTGTGTTTTTAGCATCCTCATTGGTGAACTTGATGATGTCAACAGTGTTGATGTTTTTGAAAGCTTCTTAGCTTGGTTTTGACCCAAGTATCTTCCACATATTTGAACCAGAGACTCTTGGTTGAAGGAGTTCAGGACTCTCTTTTGTTCTTTTCTGTTTTTCTTACGTGTAGAGATTGGCCACAGTTGGGGACACAAGGGATCCCATGACACAAACCCTGCTTCTGTCTGTAAAAACTGTCAATGCACTTGAAATAAGTAGTGGAAAGATCTGGTCCGGGGTGAAATTGGTTCTGTTGTTAAGATCATTATCTTTTTGGAGTTGTTTTCTAACACTTTTCACTGCTTCAGATGTGAGTGCAAAAGTGAAAAGTGACATAAAAACAAATACAAGAGTTTCTTCTGGAGCCAGCTTCAAATGTTGAACTTTTTCAAAATCCATGAAACTCTATGTGAAATGTTGTTTTTACAGTTTTAGCAAGATGTTTTGCAATATGTGTCTAAGTTTATGGTGCTGACAATGGGTCTGAGTTCTGTTTCTTCATTGTGTATTTTTGGGAAGTCCGTATAAACATGAAGTGGCTTCCCCTAGATTTAATCACTGGTATGGTAACATGATTATTCAGTTATTTGGTGCTACTGTATAGCTTTTTTTCCTTTGATACTTCCTTTTAAACATAAGGTATTTTAAAAAGTATTACATGTGCATTTGTCCAGTCTTATCATACTGTTAAAACTAGGCACAAGTAAAAAATATCTATTTATATCTAATGCATTTTTCTCCCATTAAAGGTGTAGTTTCACAGCCAATCCACTGCTGATGCGAGAACATAGCTACAATTACATTTTATAATATAGGGGCACATTTAGCCAGCATTTCAGCCATAAAGGCACTTAATGCTAAAGATTTAAAATGTACACAGCCAGTCTAAACCTTTTTTGGTATTTCTAATTTAAGCTGATTTTCGCAGGCTGTTTAGAACAAATAAAAGTCACCGCCAGCCAGAACAAGCTATGAGTTTTCACAAATGCTACGCAGCATCAAAACCATAATCATCATCAAACGAGAGCCACGCCTAATTGTTTTCCCGGGATGCACTTTGTGATTCAGAGAAGTTCTGTTTTGATGTTTTAAGAACGCCTGTTTGTTCTTAGCTGTAACTCAAAATTTTATGTTCAAATAGAACATGACAGAAAGTCGAATTGTTCACGATTCATATGGAGGACATAAAATTTATATTTGATCCAATAAATCATGAAACTAATTGAGGGTCACTGGCTCGCAGTTTGTTTTGGCTTCGTGTTCTTGCACACATATTGTCTTTATAACTCGTCTGGGGAAAATCACGATTTTGCTGAAGCTGTGTTTTTAGTGGGTTATACAAGGAAATGTCACAAAGTCTGACACGTGGATCCACGCACACAGACTTTCTGATGTTGACTTTATGATTGCAGGTGAGCCCGACAAGGAGTTGAACCCCAAAAAGAAGGTGTGGGAGCAGGTGCAGCCCGACCTGCGCACGGATGACCAGTGTGTTGCAACGTACAAGGGTGCTGCCTTTGAAGTCGCTGGCAAGGGAGTGTGCAAAGCTCAAACCATGAGCAACAGTGGAATCAAATGAAATACCAGAGCTGCTTGAAACAGCTCTGTGTTTACTCAACAGTCCGGTGATGACCACAGATGGTGTTGAGCAGTGGGATAGTGATAAATGAGAGCAAATTCTTTTAAGATGTTCAATAAAGGATTTTGATTAGCTTCACTTTGTTTTGTTTTCAGTAAGCGTGCTCCAAGAATCTGTCCAGCAACTGTCACCTCAAAACTAGATCCAGCCGCGGTCCATAAAGAGTAATCAAGATGGTCCCTGAGTCTGTCTCCTTTCCTGAGACACATTACCTTGATTTGTGTTGTGATTTTGAGGTTGTAGCTTTAAAAGGACGTGCTGAAGTGGACTCCAGCAGCCTGACAAAAACATGCAAGGTTTTGGGCTATTTAGGTGGCTCTTTGCTTCCACTTTCTTTGCACACAGTAATTATTGCAAGCTTTTACAATAGTATTTTTTTTCTTTCAGGCTTCTGAAAAAAAATGCATCCTTCTCTGAAAATAGAGTTCTGCACCAAAAGTACCTATTTGAAATGATCCATTAACTTAAAACAAACACATCACAGAATCTGAGTCTGAATACTTAAGTATAATGGAAAAATCCCAAATTTGTCTTTCTCCTGGACTGTTTTTCAAACAAACATTAAAACTCAACATAAAGTAAGCTATTCTAATATACTGTATTTTTGAAAGTTAAAACAGTTTACATCATTTGGAATGAAAAAAAAACCTATTATTTTTGCAATAGTTGGTTTAAGGTATTTAATTATGCTAAAAGTTTTCAAACAGGGAAGGTAAATATAAAATAATAAATTAATGTGTAACTTTCAAAATACATATATGTTGTTTCAAATTCTAAAATTTCTTGTAATATTTAGTCGTATGTTGCTACTTGTCTGTGAGTGTCTTGGGATCCGTGGATCCATTACATCGTTCTCATCCTCTCACTGTTTGTGTTGCGGTCATTTCCAGCAGCAAACAGCTAAAACCACTAAGAAACTATTGTTACTCAGACACCTTGGCAGTTGCTGTTCTGACCACAGGAGGGCACAACCCCACCATTAAATTGAACATCCCATCAAGACTAAGAATTAGCTCCACGCACTCCATGAAGGAGTTAGATTATTATTTTGCTTGGTTGACATTTAAGTTGGTGTATAAAGCATCAGGAGGAGAGTCCTGCTCACGCAATATCAGTCACTGTCACAGCAATAAGAGGATGCGGAGAAGAAGGAAGTATTATATGACTATAATTATCCATCTGAACAAAATGCTTTGTTTATACTTATCTGATCTATTTGTGAGACTGATCCATATTGGGTTGGTCTGCCTTGCCACCCATTACTTATCGATGAGCTAAGTGATGAAAGGCTGTACTGGAAACAAATCTCAGTTTCAAATACTCTATCAGAACAAAGTAAATGAGGATGTGGTTAACCTCACTAATTACTGGACCTGTTGCCAAAAAAAAAAAAAAAAGAAACAGAAAAGGCTGCTGAGACATGTTTTGAGTTGAAACCTTCGCTCTTTTCTCTCATTTATCTCAGGAGATGACTCAGAAACAAGAAGTCAAAGGGTTGGATTTGTCAGCCCTGACCTTGGATGCTTAAAACACTGTTTTATTTCAAGACATTTGTGATAAAAAAACAAACATTAAAGCAACAGTTTGGAGCTTCTGACGTGGGATTTTGTTGTGAACAATTAATAACTAACCTCAGTTTGGAGAAATAACAGACAAGCTAACAACTAGTACGAGCAAACCAAAGTGGAGTCTTAAAAGTTGGAAATTTCACTGCAGTTTATGTAAACACTTTTAGGGACAAAACACACAGAAGGCATATGAAGTCAAAAATTACACATTCATTTTCTATGATGAACCCCACATCCATCCGATTGAGACTATCTTATACACTTAATTTGTTAGACTTAAATCAAGTCATATCAATTGTTCTCCCATTTTCCTCACATTCTGACATCAAACCTGCAAAATGTTGCTTTTGTATTTTGAGATGATGTTTGCATATTCTTGCCAAGACCGGTACATCAGAGACGTCTATGTGGAACAGCCCAAAATGAACTCTGAGTCCATCAGCCCATTCAAAGTTGTCCAACAGTGACTAAACTGAAAAAAATAACTTATAAGATTTACTCGAAAAAAAAATCCTCGTAACAATTTGCACTAATGTTTGTGAAGTACATTTAATTGCTACAAATTCAAGTAATATTTACTCATCATTATCTAGTAAAAGTTATTAAGAATATAGTTAAATATTTGTGAATAAATCAGGTAAATTTTTACTTAATTTTCTCAATTAAATCTTGTAACATACACTTGATCAAATTAAGTAAAATTTACCTGATTTATTCACAAATATTTAACTATATTCTTAATAACTTTTACTAGATAATGATGAGTAAATACAACATGAATTTGTAGCATTTAAATTTACTTAACAAACATTAGTGCAAATTGTTACGAGGATTTTTTTTTAGTAAATCTTACAAGTTCTTTATAACAGTGCACATGTGTCAAGCATATTGTAGCATGACACCTCACAGCTACAGAGAGAGGTGTAGCTCTTGTTGTAGTTCAAGACTTCACCACCAGGTGGCAGTTTTGAAAAACCTTTATTATTGGATTCTTCTTCATGAACAATACAAAATAAAACTCACAGGTCTTATTAATGACTAGGCCTACCACTCTCACTTATGGTTACTTCTGCTGAACGGTTTAACACAAGTTAACAAATAATGAACACACAAATTAGAGTATATTATATTATATTAAGAGTAAATTAGAGTAACACAACAGACTAATTGCTGAAAGAACAATGTTAACCAATTCCCTAAAAGGATTTAACAACAACAAACATGAATCCTACCCACAATCCTCCACTGCAGTCACATGACAAACAGCCAAACACTGCAGAATGCTACAATATGCATTTCCTGTTCCCTGACAACTAAATATCACCTACATTATGCCATCAAACTGTTGCACACCAACAAATGTATTCAAGCAAAAGAAACCAGACTTTTGTTTTATTTCTACCATGTCTTGTCCTCTCCTTGAAAAGTGAAGGAAGGCAATGAGGAGCAGCAGCCTTTGTGTGTGCATGCACCCTCAGTTTTATCCCAGAAGAGTAGAAGTTACTTGTGCTGTCCAGAAAAAGCACTTAAATATTACTGGTAAAATAATATTAACATTTACTTTTTTTTTGAACAGTAATATTGATATATTATATAATATAACGTGTATTGTTTATTTAGTAAATTCTATTAGTTTAGATATTTTAATATTTTTTGTAAAATTTAAAAGAATAATTAAATAAATGTTAATACACCCAAATGTTTGTTTTTTCAGTGTACATGAAATATGACCTGAACTCCATTTTCTTATAGCACTTTAGTTACTTCCAAGATGGTGCTGCTGAAAAACTCACAACACAGAACATCCTCCATCTGCTGTGGCCCCATCTAAGAAAAACCATTCTCTGTAATGTAGACTGTTGGGTCATTGAAGGTGTCATTTTATATATTGTAATAGTTTTCGTAAGCCATAGCAGGCCAGGGCACATCACAGCTGGGACAGTATCTATAATCTTTGCATCTTGGTAGCGCATCATGGTCAATGTTTTCTCTTTATGTTACAGCATCCAGCAATATTTCTCAACGCTGTTCTATTTTCAAGCATCTGTGCGGTGACACAGCTGCACCTCTTTTGCTAATCAACACATCTGCTCCTCGTCATCCATCCATGAAAAACAGGCAACATGCCACCCTTTAACATAATGCAGTGAATTATGGTTTTTCCCTATTTGTTTGCATGACATTATGAATCTAGTGTCTTTTTTTTTTGTCAAACAATGTGTTTGGATTTGTTTGTGGAACACTGTTTTTTTTCTGATGAACTGGAGTTCAGCCTAGTTTACAGTCAGTTTCTGCTTGCATGTGGTTATTCAGTGATTCAGCACCAGGATGTCAAAATCCTGTCTCAGCATCCCCCCTCACTTCTGTCCATTAATGAGGGGTTTTCCCCCAAAAGCTGTGGACAAATAAATCGAATCATCAGGAGTAAACAACAGGAACATTGTATCTAATGTGGCATCTGCAGCAAGGATTGTGGGCACCAGCAATGCTTGTTTTTGTGTTTAAACTGAAAGCAGATGCTTCACTGAGCGCACCACATGTTATCGGCTAATATCACAATATCACTTGTTCACATTTGGTAATTGTCTGCTTTTGCTTGTCCTCTGCTGTCATGTGAGCTGTCCTTGAGCTACACCACTGACGGAGCTCAAGCAGGAAAACGGATATTTTCTGAATAATGCATTACAAGGCAACGCTATCTAAACAAGAGCTTCTTGTCCAGCTTTCACTCTGCAAATCTAATTATTGCTTTCACATACTTGATAGGTGTAGAATTACTCTTTACCACGCACCTCTTTCCTGTCATCTGCCATCTCACCACCCTGACTAGTGGCACTCAAGTCAAAAAGCCAAAACAAGGTCTCAACTTCAAGTCTCAATTTGCTCAAAATTCTCTCGTTCACATCTCGCCTCCTTGTAATCTTGGGTTTCATTTGTGACAGTTGGGTCCTTGTTTGATTGTAATTATGGTCCTCACCTCCAACGCCCCCCCCCCCCTTCCCAGGGACTTCCACCCTCCCAGTCCTGCAATAGGTTTCAGAGCAGACTCAGACTGACTCATCAAGTGTCATGAAAAACGAGCTGTCTGGAAACAAGGCTGAAGATGTGCTGGAGTCTTCCCCGACACTCTCTCTGACAGTAGTCTTATCTCCGTCGGCATGTGGAAGTGTCTCTGCAGGCCGGCTGCCCGATGAAAGACGAATGAGCTCATCGAGAGAAGTCTTAAAGCAATAGTGTAGGTCTTGTGGAGCTCTGAGAAAAAAGTTATAAATGTTTAATTACTTGTAGATAATTCTTTGAACAGCTTCTGTTTGTTTACAATGATTGTGGACCCGCATTTCAGAATAAAAGCATATCTGGAAAATCACGGTGGTAAACTTTTTCAAGCTGCATTATTTAGTAAAGTTCAGGATCATCTTTTTGTACGTTTGACTTCATACTTTGCAATTTAATACTGTACACTTCTTGCCTAAATATGAAAAAAATTACATTTAGCATTTGCTGCTTTTT